CTGAGTCATCAAATGTAAACAGCTATATGTATAGCAAACCATGTGTAATCATTCATTCAATACAATATACAAAAAGACTGTTCAGTTTCCTTTCTTTCTCTCTCTCTATTCCTTCCTTCCTTCTTCTTCGATTTCTCTCTAAGATTTCTTCTGCATTTCTTTAGTTGTTAAGATGGTATCGAGCCAGTGATTCTTCTGTGTGGATAATGGGTTCGTGTGCTACATCAATGGTGATTTTGGTGTTCTTCGTTTTGTGAGTTGAAGACAGATTCAGGTGAAATTTCTCTAATTTTTTTTTCTTGGCCTGATTGTTCAAAGTTGTAAGCAAATATGTCAATTTGGAGGCATGAAGCCATTTCTGGTTTTCTGTAGTTTGTGAAGGCACGAAGCCATTTCTTGCGTCTTGATTTGTAGTGGGCACGAAATTTTTCTGGGTTTTTCTGTAGTTTGTGAAGGCACGAAGCCAGTTCTTGAGTTTTGATTTGTAGTGGGCACAAAGCCATTGGTGATTACTTTGCTGTAGATTGTTGTGGGCACAAAGTCATTTCTTGATTTGTGTAGTTTGTTGAATTGGGTGTTTACTGTTCTAGATTGAAGGTTCTTGAAGTTCTGTGTGTCGATTCTTTGTTTTCTTACAAATTGTACACATAATGTCGTCATTTGTGAAAGTGGAGAGCCTTTTAGGCATGCTGACCATTAAGCTGAATGATAAGAATTTTGCGAAGTGGGTGTTTCAGTTTACTTCTGTTCTCAAAGACTATAAACTGTTTGGTCATTTTGATGGTTCTATTTCATGTCCACCAAAGTATGTAGTTAGTACGGATCAAAGGGTTACAAATACAGTTTCCGATGCATTCTTGGAATGGGAGTCTGTGGATCTTGCTCTTCTGAGTTTATTGATTGCTACCTTGTCAGATGAGTCAATTGAGTATGTTTTAGGGTCTAGAACTACACATGAAGCTTGGATAAATTTGCAAGATCGATATGCATCTGTTTCTAAAGCTCGTGTTAATACCCTCAAGACAGAGTTTCAGACTATGCAGAAAGGGGCAAGTTCAATTGATCATTATCTGTCTCGTCTTAGAAATATTAAAGATCAGTTAGTTGCAGCTGGAGAAGTAGTCAGTGATAATGATTTTATTATTGCAGCATTGTCTGGTTTACCAAGAGAGTATTCGGTTATAAGAACTGTAATTTTTACAAGAGATACAAATATGATGCTAAGAGAGTTTAGGGAGCAGTTATTGTGTGCAGAAAGAGAAGCTGATTCTGTTATTCAAAATTTGTCTCCAAATATTGCTGGATTGTATATGCAAGGGAATTCTGGTTCTGGTTCTTATTCCTCCATGGCTCAAGGGTTTTCTAGTAACTCCGCTAATGTGCCTTTCCTTAGTGGAGGTACTTTAACACCAATATCAGGTGCACATTCTGTTTTTTGAGGACATTATAGCTCAGGAGCATCTTCTTCGAATGTTGTTCAGATGCCATCTCTTTTTCCACAGTCACAAGAACATTATAACTCAGGAGTATCATCTTCCAATGTTGCACAGATTCCATATCCGTTCTCTCAGTCTCAAGAACACTATAGCTCAGGGGCATCATCTTCAAATGGTGCACAGATGCCATATCCTGTTTCCCAGTCTCAAGCTCCGATACATTTGCCCTTTCCACAGTCTTCAGCACCAGTGATGTTTCCTCCATCTTATCCCTTTCCACAGCATCAAGATTTAGGATATCATGAGAATGCCAGTGCTTATGGTTTTGTGGGGACAGCCAACACTCCACGACAGTTCCATAATAATGGTTCTCGACCTCAGTATGGTTCCAAGCCGAATGGGAATGGTGCATACAGATCTCAGAATTATGGAAACAATAGAGGTGGTCAGTCTGGGGGCAGATCAAATGGAGGAAGCTGGCAATCTTGGTCTGGTAATACTGAGATAAAGCCTAACATAGTGCCTGAATGTCAGATTTGTTCAAAAGAGGGCATACAGCCCCTAATTGCTGGAAAATGCCTACTTAATCAAGCTCAGGTGGACAGGGTATGGAATGTCAGATTTGTGGCAAGAAAGGGCACAGTGCATTAGACTGTTATCACATAAATAACTTTGCCTATCAAGGGACACCACCTGCTCCTACTCTCACAGCAATGCAAGCTCATGCTCCACCAACAGTTTTACCTAATGATTCATGGATTATAGATACTGGGGCTTCTCATCACATGACTGCAAACATTGATTCTTTGCAACAAGTCACTTCATATGCAGGCAATGACAAAATTACAATTGGCAATGGTGAAGGTTTGCCAATCACACATATTGGGTCTACACATTTAAATACATCACCTTACTCTTTGATCTTGAGGAATGTTTTACATGTGCCAACTATAGTTGTGAATTTACTCTCAGTTAAACAATTGTGCAAAGATAACTTCTGCTGGTTCATATGTGATGATATAAATTTCTATGTGCAGGACAAGGTAACCAAAGTTGTTCTTTACCAAGGAAGGAGTGAGGATGGTGAGTTGTTTCGGATTCCAGTCAAGCTGTTCCCAAGGTGTTTGTCTCCATCAGTTCAGAAGTCAGTAGCATTACTTGGTCATAAGGTGAAGTCTACAGTGTGGCACCAAAGACTTGGACATCTCAGCAATGAAGTGCTTTTAGAGATGATGAAACTATCAGATATAGCTATTACAGTGGATGATAATCAGCATGTATGTTCCTTCTGTATTTCTGGAAAAATGTCAAGGTAGGTGTTTTTAGATAGGACAAATACATGTACTTTTTCATTTCAGAAGGTTCACTCCGATCTCTGGGGTCCTTCACCAACTAGGTCTATAGAAGGATATAGATACTATGTTAGTTTTGTCGATGAATTCACAAGGCATGTATGGATATTTCCTTTAATCAATAAATCAGAAGTTTTTGGTGTCTTTCAGAGATTTTTCAGCTTTATTCATAATTAATGTTAGCATTAAATGTCTTCAAATTGATGGGGGTGGAGAGTTTATAAGTAAGCAGTTTGATGATTTCTTGAAACTTAAAGGTATAGTACATAAGATTTCGTGTCCCTACACCCCTCAACAGAATGGGATGGCTGAAAGGAAGCATAGACACATCATAGAGACTGCCATTACTTTAATGACCACTGCTCATTTGTCTCAGAACTTGTGGTTTCATGCCTGTGCACATTCTGTATATCTCATAAATAGGATGCCAAGTAAAACATTAGGGATGAATCCCCTTATCAGTTGCTGTTTGGTACAAAGCCTAGTTTACAAGATATTAAGATATTTGGAACAGCAGTATATCCCTATATCCGACCCTATAATGAGAACAAATTGCAACCAAGGGTTGTTCAATGTGTGTTTGTTGGTTATGTAGAAGGTTATAAGGGAGCACTATGTTTTCATATGCAGTCTCAGAAACTGATTATATCCAGGCATGTTATACATGATGATAGTGTGTTTCCTTACAAAGTCATGAGTTGTACTACAAAGTTTTCTTCTTCGAGTGAATCTTTCAGAGATAGATCTGTGAATGGTCCTATTATTGTTACACTTCCAGTGCAGCCTCGTTCTGGTGCTTTTGATGGCAGAAATATGACATCTGATTCAGTAGGTGTAAGTTCTCCACATTCTATCAGTGCACCAGCTAATGAGATTAGTGCAAGTACAGTTGGGACAAGCCCTCATATTTCAACAACAGCATTTTCTCCGTCAACTGAAACAACTCATTCATCCCCTCCACACACAGCTTTGATGTTACCTGTCCACAATCCTGCACAATTAGAGGTAACTCTTCCTCTAATTTCTTCTGAAGTATCTGAGCATATTCAATCTGATAATTCTGTTCCAATGATGCAAACTAGGTTACAAACAGGGGCTATTTCAAGAAAAGATTATTCAGCCTTTATAGCTAGTTTTCCTCAGTTGTCAACTTTACAGATTGATGAACATGATAACTATGGTACTGGGGGGTTTTCCTTTTTGGCTCAAATTAATGATCTAGCAGAACCTACGAACTTTCGAAGTGCTGCTACAAATATTAATTGGCAAAGAGCAATGCAAGAAGAGTTCGATGCATTGAAAGGTCAAGCCACATGGAAGCTTGTCCCTCCACCTACACACAGAGCAATTATTGGTAGCAAATGGGTTTACAAGCTGAAAAAGAATCTTGATGGGTCTATTTCAAGATATAAAGCTAGATTAGTAGCTCAAGGGTATAATCAAGAGCATGGACTAGATTATTTTGAGACATTCAGTCCTGTTGTGCAACATACCACAGTTCGGTTAATCATTTCTCTTGCAGCTCAATTTCAGTGGGAATTAAGACAGATAGATGTTAAGAATGCATTCTTGCATGGTGAATTGGAGGAAGAGGTTTATATGAAACAACCACAAGGGTTTGTGGATTCTACTTATCCTGGATATGTATGCAAGTTGATGAAGTCTTTGTATGGCTTGAAACAGGCCCCACAAGCATGGAATGCCAAATTTACAAGATACTTACCTGCAATGGGTTTTCAAATGTCTCAATCAGATACAAGTTTATTTGTGAAACATGATGGCACTGATATTGTTGTTCTATTACTATATGTAGATGACATCATTCTCACTGGATCCAATAAGAATCAGGTTCAAGCTATAATTCAGGAACTTGGAGATGTGTTTAAATTAAAGGATATGGGTAGATTGGCTTATTTTCTGGGATTACAAGTTGAGTATAAAGCCAATGGGGATATTTTCATCAATCGGTCTAAGTATGCAAGAGATTTGCTTCATAAAGCTGGAATGGATGGCTGTAAACCTACTGCAACTCCATGCAAGCCTCATACTCAACTTCTGGCTACTGAAGGTACGATTTTGAAAGACCCAAGTGCATATAGGAGTCTAGTTGGTGCTTTGCAATACCTAACTTTTACTAGACCTGATTTGTCCTATGTTGTGGGTGTGGCTTGTCAATATATGAACACTCCTACTGATATACATTTTGATCTAGTTAAAAGAATCTTAAGGTATATACAAGGTACTTTGCAGTGTGGAATTACATATTCAGCATCATAGGACACATCCTTAACTGCTTTCTCAGATTCTGATTGGGCTGCCGATCCGAATACAAGGAGATCTGTTACTGGGTTTGTGGTTTTCATGGGGTCCAATCCTATATCGTGGCAGTCTAAGAAGCAAGCCTCAGTCTCAAAAAGTTCAACAGAGGCAGAATATAAAGCCTTGGCACATTGTGCAGCTGATATTGTCTGGATACGACTACTGTTAAAAGATCTACATCAGTTCATGTCTGAACCACCATTGTTGCAATGTGACAATCTTTCTGCTTTAGCTCTCTGTTCAAACCCTGTATTTCATACACGAATTAAACATTTGGACACGGATTTTCATTTTGTTCGCGAAAAGGTTCAAATGAAGGATTTACAAGTTCAGTATGTGCCTACTGACCATCAGACTGCAGATATCTTGACAAAAGGGTTGCATGGTCCTGCTTTTATTCGCCATTGTTGCAATCTCATACTAGGTTACCCTAGCTGAGATTGAGGGGGGATAATAACTAAGGGTGTATCATAGCTTATCATTCACCACATGCCGTCAGTTACAAGTTAGTTAGTTGGTTAAGAAAGAGAGTGCTGAGTCATCAAATGTAAACAGCTATATGTATAGCAAACCATGTGTAATCATTCATTCAATACAATATACAGAAAGACTGTTCAGTTTCCTTTCTTTCTCTCTCTCTATTCCTTCCTTCCTTCTTCTTCGATTTCTCTCTAAGATTTCTTCTGCATTTCTTTAGTTGTTAAGATATCTAACATACAAAGAGACAAGCAACTAATGGGAGAATCAAGGCACACCCAAGCTTACGCAATAACAAAACCTAAACCGAAAACAACAGAAAAATAACTGAGAATTTAGGCCCTTGTGGAGCAATTAAAACAGCCGCTTCTAAGTAAATGTAGCCCCATAGCAGCGATACAATATGTAACAATCGACTATAATGAAGATTCCCACAAATTCATTAATCATAGGAAATCAGAATCAGTTATGCTTACGCATACTCATGCGCATGAGGATCAGGAGCAGTTTTCACTACAAAGTAATTCTTGCAATAAAATATTGATGTATAACCCTACATTACTGAAGATGAGGTATTATATTCTAAGATGAGAGACTGGACTACGTCCCATGATGGGTCATCCATAACTAGGTATCAAAATCAAAACAAATATCATTCATCCTCGCCGTCCATGTCAATCAATTATCGAACCTAAGATCTCTCACTTAATTACATAAAAGTTTTATTCCTTAACTAGTAACACAAATGTAAGCGAATTCATTTCTACTAACGATGGAAACACCTCCAACTGTTGTCCAGATTACACAATTACAGTCCCATCTCTCAACATAAACAAGATGCATTAAATAACGAGCAAAGTGAAACAGGACACCAATCCAAAAAAAAAATATTATGGGGCTCCAATCGCATTTGTGGATCTAGATTGCTAGGGATTTAAGAAGGATAGCAAAGAGAGGGGTGCCTGGGATGGCAGAAATGTAAGCAGTTCTATAAAACTTATAAACTACAACCACAACAACTAGGCACTAGGGTTACGATACAATTACATCATGCAGAATATAAAGCATATCAGAAACTAATTGCAGAAACACCTACTTGTGTTTGATGCCATAATTGCAACGCAAGTCAGTCTTCTACTCCCACCACTCAATAGCTCCCTTACTGTATGAATAGGTTTCAGTATCTCTAGGGTTTTTCACGTACGGGAGCAGGGACTATAACTTCATATATATATATATATATATATATATATATATATATATATATATTACTAGGATTACACAACCAGCCTATTAACAGTTGTGTATCCTTATTGCCTTAACAATGAATAAGTCCTATCATGATTAAACATCTTTGCATTCAATCCTTATCAGAATTGCTTTAAGTTAGCTACATGAAATAAGACTCCATAACCCTTACGAAGTTGAGACCAACTATACTATCTGCGTCACAGTTAACTTGAAAACCAAGCTAATTGTTATTCAAGTAATATCAACTAACACTCATTGTCATTCACAAGAACTTTACATTCTCCCACTTGAATGTCAATGAGAAATCTCAACTCATAAGGATTCATGGTGATCACTAAGCCTTCAAAATTTGCAACCAACTTTTCTTGACAACGGGTCACTAAAAATTTAATGTCGAACCAAAGAAAACAAAAAACAAATTGGTATGTTATTTGCACTCCATGATTACAAGCACATAAAACTTAAAGCACAATGTTGTCATCAAAGTCGTGATATCAAGAGCCATTAACCAAAAACAACAGCTCACAACATAAGAACAAAAGCTATCATAATAAAATATGAATGAGAATATCATAGCATATTAAATGTTGTCTGCAGATTGAATAAAACTACTAAGGTTCTGAAGAACAACCATACATATATAAGCATACCTATCACAGTCAATTAAGTGCTTACTCCCACTCATTAACTGCTTCAAAGGTCTCTTTAACACCCATGTTGAAAACATGGTTCTTGAATACTCCCACTGGTAGGGCTTTAGTCATGGGATAGGCCACCATAAGAGTTGTGCTTATATGCTGAATGTCGATGGTCCCTTTCTTAACTTCATCCCTCACCTTCAAATACTTCATGTCCATCAGCCTATTTGCCAAAGATCTCTTATTGTTTTTAGAGAAAAAAACAGTTGCTTTAATGTCACAAAATAGCTTCAATGGTTTGTCAATGTTGTCCACACCTTCCAATCCTTTTATCATATTCCTCAGCCATATTGCCTGTTTGGTTGCCGTGTAGCAGCCAATGAATTCAGCTTCCATAGTTGACGATGCTATCGACTTTTCCTTGGCACTTTTCCACGATATCGCACCACCAGCAAGTAGGAATAAATAACCACTAGTAGATTCCTATCATCGATACATCCTGCCAAATCTGAATCAGTGTAAGCTACCAATTCTAATTCATCGACTTGACCATAAACAAGCATGAAATCCCTGGTTCTTTTGAGATATCGCAGCACTTTCTTGGCTATAGTCCAATGAGCTGCCCCAGGATTTGACTGAAATCTTCCCAGTACACTTACTGCAAATGCTAAATCAGGCCTCGTGCATACTTGAGCATACATCAAATTGCCCACAAGTGATGCATAAGGTTTGGTCTTCATGCTATCCTTTTCCAGATCATTCTTAGGACTTTGATCATTACTGAACTTATCATCCTTCCCAATTGGTAATTCACCGTTGGAGCAATTTTCCATGTTAAACCTCTTGGTTATTCTGTCAACATACAGTCTCTGAGAAGTTTAAGAGCTTTCTTGCTTCTGTCTCTAATAATCTTAATTCCCAGAACGAACTTGGCTTCTCCCAGGTCCTTCATATCAAAACTGTTGGCTAGCATCTCTTTGTTGATTGCAAAAGAGTCAAATCTAAGCTAGCAATTAAAATATCATCAACGTATAAAACCAGGAATACAACTTTGGAACCACTTACCTTGAGGTACACGCATTCATCCATCTTATTTTCCCGAAAGCCAAATGATGACATGACATGATCAAACTTTTTGTTCCATTGCCTAGAGGCTTGTTTCAATCCATAGATGGATTTATTTAATTTGCAGATCATGGATTCCTTCCCCCTTTCAACAAATCCTGGTGGCTAATGCATATAAATGTCGTCCTCAAGATCGTCATTGAGAAAAGTGGTCTTGACATCCATTTGATGCAGTTCTAGGTCAAAATGAGCAGTTAGGGCTAGAATCACTTGCATTGAATCTTTTGTAGACACGGGAGAGAACGTTTCATTGTAATCAATTCCTTCCCTTTGAGTGAAAACTTTGGCTACCAACCTTGCCTTATGTTTGTCAATGTTGCCTTATGAGTTTCCTTTGGTCTTGAAGACCCACTTGCAACCTACTGTTTTTGTAACACCTGCAGGTTTTGGCACAAGACTCCAAACTTTGTTTTTCAGCATTGAATCGATCTCTTCCTCCATTGCTTGGTGCCATAGGGATGCTCTCATACTTGTGATGGCTTGGTGGTATGTTGCAGGGTCATCTTCATCTCCGAGGCTGAATTCTGCTTCATTTAAATATACAAAATCTAGAAGCACATTAATTTTCCTAGTTCTTTGGGACCTTCTGACATTTCCAGCAGCCAGTACTTCAGTTGGCACTTCATTTTCTTCAATGGGAATGTCCTGCGATTGCACATTTATTTCTTCATTGATGGCACTATTTTCAATGACATCATTTGAAGCTGGTTCTTGAGTGAATGCAGTCGCAGTCGGTGCTTCAGTATTCATTTCAAGTTGAGCTATCACGGTTGGGAGAAATGTCACTGTTGGGATTTGCATTGTGGCTTCTTACTGATCATGCAAAGAACTACTATCGTAGCTCATTTCTTCGAACTCAAAAGGCTGTGAATTAGTGGCAGATGAACTCAACTCCTCAAATTCTTCTATAAACTTTGCATTGTGAGTTTCCATTATTCGAGACTGACCATGAGGAAGGTAAAATTTAAACCCTTTCGATTTTTCCAAGTAACCAATAAACCTGCAACTTGTTGTTCTTGAATCAAGCTTCTTCTCATTTGGATTATAAAAACGTGCCTCAGCTTTGCAACCCCATATGTGAAAATGATTGAAGCTTGGTTTTCTTCCAGTCCAAGCTTGAAAAGGCACTATTGTTACTGACTTACTCGGCACTCTATTGATTATGTAGTTAGCAGTTTTCAAGGCTTCCCCCACAGAAACATAGGTAATCTTGATTGTGCAAACATTGATCGAATCATGTCTTTTAGGGTCCTATTCCTCCTCTCGGCCACCCCATTCTGTTATGGAGTCCCTGGGGTTGTGTATTGAGCAACTATGCCATTATCTTGAAGATATGTAGCAAAGGGTCCTTTGTGTTGTCCAGTTTCAGTGTACCTGCCAAAATACTCACCACTCTATCGGATCTTACTATTTTAATGTGTTTTTCCAATTGTTTTTCAACCTCTAACTTAAAGATTTTAAAACAATCCAATGCTTCAGATTTTTCAGAAATCAAATAAACAAAAGCAAAGAATGAAAAGTCATCAATGAAAGTGATGAAATATGTCTTTCCACATATAGTTTTGTTTGGAAAAGGTCCACAAATGTCAGTGTGAATGATTTCAAGTAAGTGTTGACTGCGTGTTGAACCCATTTTCCTTGCGTTAGTAAGTTTCTCTTTAAAACAATCTGTGCAGATTTTGAAATCGTAAAAATTTAATTGGGGCAACAAGTTTTGTTTGCTCAAAGTGATGATTCTTTCCTTGGAAATGTGCCCCAACCTCTTGTGCCAAAGCATAGAGGATTTTTCAGAAGTGAGCAACCTTTTAGAACCAACACTTTGAACATTAAAACACTCATGCACATATGAACATTCCATTTGCCACATATCGGTTTGTAAATGAGCAACACCAAGCAAGGAATTCATATTATTTGATTTGAAAAACCTTACACCTTCATTGTCCCCAACAAAAGAAATACCTAACTTAACTAATTTGGACGCAG